CAGCCAAACCCTCCAACTTCGCAGTTACTTAAAATACCCAGCCCGCCAGCCGCTGTCATTGTCTGCTGCAGACACCTCTGACACTGGTGACTGTCCGACTTTGCCTAGGCTCCCCGGCCCTCAGGGGCTGTGTCCGCCAGTCGCGCCACAGCCCAGGCTTCCGGGCAGCAGCTGGACGGGCCCCGCAGAGCCGGCCTCCTTTGGACCAGGCTCTTGGAGTGGGCCGCAGGGTCAAGGCGAGCCTTGTCCCACACACGAACACCTCCCTTTGCGGCTCTGCTTGCCTGCTGCCTCCGCATGGGTATATGCAGGGTGGAGGGCACTGTACTGTTGGAATCCTTGCCCCACCCCTGGAGATTCCAGCAGAGCCCCCTCCCCCAAGTGCGGCTCCCCTCATTCGGCTCCGCCCACTACTCAGTCTCCGCATAGCCTTGTGCCTCTGGCAATGGACTCTAGGCCTTTCTGAGGAACAGGAGAAAGGGAGCGACCTAGGTGGTTGGCAAAGGTTCTTCTTGAACCTTTGACCAGCCTCTGAGGGCGGAGAACCCTTTGTGAGGAGACAATGAGACCCAGTAAATCCCTCACTTGGGAGGAAGGCTAGCTGGGGACCTTTGTGACACCAGCAAGTACTGTGGATATGGTACTACACTCACCTCCTCCCACCACGACTAGTGCCAACACAAACCCCCTACTTGCAGCTGAGCATCTCCATCCCAGGGCTAGACCTGCCCTCTGCCCTATATAACTTCTCTCCCCACATCCAAACCCACTCACCCTACACTGTCCAAATTCTCTTTTCTCTCTGGCCCACCCTCTTAGTGCTGTTCCTGCCTGTCTCGAAACCCATGATGACCTTTTTTTTTTTTTTTTCCTCAGAACTCCTGGCTGCCCGAGTCCCTTGGGCACTTTTGGGCTTAAATTATAATAGGAGGCAAACTACAATTAAGTTTCCCTGCCTCTACTTTGTCTCCCTGATCTCGTGGATGTCTGGGTTCTCTTGGAAACCCTCAGAGAGGTTAATGAAACCTGAAACTCAGCCACAACACCTTCAAAGCCATGCATAGTAGTTAAGGAATGCTCCAGGAGGACTTGCTGTCTTTGCAGAGCTTTTAAGAAGAACTTTACCTCTCCAATTTGCACTTGTTCTAATCCATATGAAAATGATTAGAAAAAACACTCAAAGCTCAGGTATTTGAGTGTGCCTAAGAAGGATGGAGAAGGGGGATGGGTTGCAACTATAAGAAAAAATAAATAAATCATGATGTCTCCCTTCGACAACAAGTTCAGGATCTGGGCTGCCCAGACTTCAGACTACACATACCTTTGGTTGCTGATTCATGAGCCTAGAGATGATCTATGAGAGAGATGGGAGATCTGTATATGCAGAGACATCCTCCTGGGAAGTTGCCAGAAAGTAGAGGATTTTGGCTAGGCAAAGGGTAATGGTATACACAAAATTAAGAATGGGATGGGGAACCTGGAAGGCAGGCCGAATGAGATGACAAACTTTTCTAGTAGAGATTGTATGACTCTAAGGTAGAGAGGAGGTTAGTGTCCAGTGGTGTGGGTTTCCAAATGCCAGGCTGTGGAACGGGGATCAGATCATGGGGCAAGGGGACATCAAAGAATGGGGAATTGGAAAGTTTTGATATTTTTTTTTTGTGTGTGCAAATATGCTAGAATAAATTGGAGTTTTAGAAAAGGTTTTAGAATGGGGTCTTAGAAGAGGATTAGAAGCATGCCATAAGTCTGATAGGTAAGAGGCCACCTTTGGATCTAAAAGTAGAACTGGAGGGTAGGCTCTCTCTAGAGGGAAATTGTATGGTGTCAGCCTCCCTTTGGCTTTGTGGGGTTTGGGGAGTGGGAAAGAGAGAGCTTGGAGCCCACGTACCAATGTGGTGGAAGCTAAGTGTCCCCTGGGCCTTCAAGGAGCACCAGTTTGAACTTCTGTGCTTACAGATGGGAATCCTGAGCCCTGGAAAGCAACAGGGACTTGCTTAAAGTCACACAGCATTTAGCAATAGAGGGATAGGCTGATGACTACTGTGCAGTGGCTCTTTCCACTTTATCCCGCTGTCTCCAATGGCCTTCATTTGACACACATCTCATTAAACAACTCTTCATCTCATCTCACCCGTTAGTCAAGAGTGAAGGGGTGCTGGCTTAGCTTGAGAACCCCATCGGGGAATCCCTCCTCCCCTTCCATGTCTCTTTTGCTTCTCGATCTTGGTCTGCAGCCTGTTGGGGGCTAAAAGTTTCAAAAGGAGGGGAGGTAGTTGGAAGATGTTGGCAGTTCAACAATTCTCTCCTAGTAGTGGGGGTTTTAAATTTTTTTCAAGTATTACATTTACACTCTTGGAAAGTATGGGGAGGGGAGGATGGGCAGGAGGAGACCAGCTTTGCTCTGCTGGTCCAGGGAAATAAGGGAATGAATGGAATAGCAGCAAACATGGCAAGTCACTTCTTGCTTACAGAACCAAAGAGGAAGAACAAGCTTCCAGCCCCTTCACTAACTGGCAACTTGAGGCTAGAAGAGGGCATTGCCAGTGCTATTCCATCAGTTCCCCTGCTTCGAATCCTGTCCAGACAGATAACTAGGTGATAAACGTAAAGCCCTCAGAGATGGCATTTCATAGCCCTCCTGTATCACTCATTCCTGCATTACCCATGTCACTGCCAGGAAGTTCTTTCTTAGAGATAATCTGAGCCTTTCATGCTATACTTAAATTCTGTGTGTGTGTGTGTGTGTGTGTGTGTGTGTGTGTGTGTGTGTGTTGGAGGTGGAGTTGAGAGCAGCTGGACACTATTGCTCTTCAATAGTGGCTTAACAATCCATTGGAGATTTCATGGGCATTAAACCATCTCTTCCACCCCCAACTTCTGTTCTCTGAATTAAATAATCACAGAGCTTTTCATCTTCTCTTCTTGGTCTTAATTTTCAAACCTGTGCTTGTGTAAATATATATCTTGCAAAGCAGGCAGGGAAAGCAGAACCACTGCAGAGATGCAGGTGCCAGCTGAGTAAGGGTACATTACTCCTCCACACCTCCCCTTTTAGGATTAGGGGGTAATTTGGACAATGGAGAAAATGGCTTGAGGGTCTTAGTGGAATCAGAGGCAGGCATGCTGGTGCTGTAGGGGCATTTGTGACCCTTTTTGATCTGCATTTCTTCTTGCAGAACTTTCATTGCTTTCATCTCCTGCAGGCTTTCCCACCCCCCCCTTGGCTTCCAAGCAGATACTAACCCCCATTCTCCAGCCCACATTCCTTAGCTCTTCTTGTTAGGGGCTGCAGCTTTTCTCACGGGAAAGAGGGCTGGGCCAGGCCAGTTGTGTTATCCCTCCTCTCTGGACAAATGAGAAATATTCTCAGGGTTGTGGGGTGCAGAACACCTCTATCCTATAGTGGTGACCTGGGCTCAACCAGTCCCAGAGAAGCCTAGGATCCCCTCAAAATCACATTCTCACCATGCCTCTTGACTTAGCAGCTACTAAAAACGTTATCACAAGATCACCCTTGCTCCAGCTTCTCACTAAATGTGGGTCAAGCGGACCCTTGGGTCCACTCTTCCATTTCTAGGTGGAGAAACTGAGGCCTAGAACAGGGAAGGGATTTGCCCAAGTTCACATAGGAGCACAGAGCTCCTAGACCCCAATTCAATGCTTCTTCCTTTAAGCACACTGATCCTTATCCCCTCCCAAGCCTCAATTTCTTTAGCTGACCTCTTACATAGGTTATAGTTTGTATTTGGGAGTGGATACATAGAAAAGTCAAGGGTCTCCATTGTTCACTTGGCCTAGCTTGTCCTCTGCAGGCTTCCTTCTGCTGTCTCATTACATCTATTTCCCTGGGGTTGACTATTCTCTTGTTTTTCATCTGAACTGGGGTTGAGGGTGAGAAGTGGAGTGGCACCTGTCTCCAATCTCACCCTTGCTGTTAGTACTGACCTAGGGGAAGCCTTACTGTGTAGGCATGGCATCCACCTCAGATACATCCTCTCTAAGGAGGTTTGGGAGCATGAAAGGGAAGTAGCAAGTAGGTGGCCCTAAGAGCCCTTGTTTTTCCAGGTGAGCTGAGCAGGGAACCTCAGCAGCCTGAAGAGAAAACTGGGGCACCAAGAAGACTTACCAGGAAAGCTCATTTTGAGGGGAGAGGTAGTGTGTCTGGATGACCACATCTCCCAGAGTGGAGAAACACTTGTGTATTGGGGACTGGGGCAATGGGTAGAGGACTGAGGCTAGGAAACCTGGAGGGGGCATGAAGGGCAAGTCTTGAAGGTCAGGCAAAGGAGTTTGGCCCCAATCTTGTAGGCAATGTGGGATAATTTGGTAAGTGGAGGAGTGATGCACTGAACTCAAGGTTGTAAGAAAATGAATCTGGCAAGGATGCGCAGGATGGAAGAGATGAAAGGGAGAGGCGGGGGCAGGACTTTAGCTTTGAAGCAGGGAGGGACCACAGGGAGCTCAGCCAGAATGAATTACCCAAGGCCGAATAATGTTAACGTCTCAGTTGAGAGGCTAGTGGTTGGAGAGTAGGAGCCGAGTCGAGAGGGCCCGGTGGAGGTCTGTGCTGCATCTAGAGTTGATGGGATGCTCTCTTGAGAGTGCCCTTCAACAGAAAGGCTGAAAAGTAGCAGAGGGGTGGTTGCAGAGGTAGTTTTGGTGGGGCTCTGCCAGCAGCCTCTACAGCTCTACCAAAGGGTACCAAGCCAGGCAGCCCTTCCTTCAGGTCTTGAATGGATGGTTTTGAGATTGGACCTTGACTGTGGGCATTAGAAATGGGTGATTCATATTCCAGATCTTATCGTAGGTCATCTCCTTTAAACAATAGCTCATATTTTGCATCTTTGTCCCCTGTTGGCAGGTTTCCATTAGAACCTTTTGTTGGCTGCTCAAACTTATCTCCCAAGAAAAAGCAGAGTAGAGGAACATGTTCCACTGTTTGGGAATGGTGGTGGTGATGGGGTGTTGCTGATGAGAGCAGCCACAGTCTGTGTTGGCAGCCCTTAGAGTCTGAAGTCAGCAGGCTTTCTGGAATGTGCTAGGTGAGGCCAAAACAGAGGCAGCCAGTGAGGACTGGAAATGCTGCAGAGAAAGCTCAACTGGGTTGGGAAGGGGAGGGGGGATGGGAGGAGGAGATGATAAGTCTGTGTGAGGAGAACCTTCACAGTCCTTGCTTTGTCTTCCTCTTTCGATTGGGGGCCAGCACAGTGTAGCAGATTGGCATGGTATTGGGACTCAAGAAGCCTGTGAGCTTGTGTGGCTCTGTCATTATCTGGCTGTGTGACCTTAGGTAAATCTTTTCCCGAGTCTAGGCAGTTTCTGCCTCCATGACAAGAAGTTACCATTCCCCACCAGACCTGATTAATGGATTTCTGGGAAGGATAAATGATGCATGAGATATTGGGGAGCTTTTTATAAATGGGTAAGTACCTGAGTTGGGTGAAGAATATCTATTTATTTGCATTTCCTTTGATATTGTTACTTTTAGCTGAGTTTGAATTGTTGACCTTTCTGGCCTGGGCTAGAGAATCTGGCTAGTTGAAATTCCCAGATAATCCAGAGCTATTAGCCAATATTTGACTGGAGGCAAGATTTCGGGTCCCTGAATATCAAAGTTTGGCTAAAAGAGCAACTAAAGCCTTCTGTGAGATAACTACAGAGTCACTCTCATTTATCATTTGGGGAACTGAGGTCCAAGGAAGTTTGATTACTTATCCTTAGAGCTCTGTGGAGCACCCTACTCAACCCTGACTGAGATAGTTTTGCTGCTAGAAATTGTCCAATTATAGTTTGAATAAAATATTTTTAAAATTAGTTGCTATGTGTTGTGAGCCTCTGCTACATAACACATTGTATTTGGTACTTTATATATCTTAGTTTTATTCCTTATAATAGCTTTAAGAGGTAGGCATCTCAATAGTTTCATTTTCCAGTTGAGTAAACTGAGAGAAAGAACTTACTGATTTCCCCCAAGTGGGCAGAGCTGATTACAGTGCAAAACTGGCTGACTCGCTAGTCGGAGGGACACTCCCTATCCTGACCATTTCTTCCTTAGCCCACCCCCCATGCACAATGGCAGATGTGCCCAGAATGGGCTTGCCCCCAGGAAAACTGTGTGGAGGAGTTCTGAGGAACTATGACTTGTTGAGACCATGCCTCTGGAGTTACTGCATAAATCCATACACTTCTTCCCTGAACTTGGCCTCCTCTAAGTTGGCTGAGCTGGTCCCAGGAAACTGGGCTGGAACATGTGAAGATCAGGCTGCAGCTGCTTCCTTCTCACCAAGAAGGGTCCATGAGGCAGATTTATGGCTGGTCTCCTGTCTGTGTTTTGTGAGGAGGGGGAAGGAAGAAGCTCTACCCTCGTGTCTAGGCTTCCACCAGTCTCAGAATGGACTGAGTCTGGCCCTGGGAGCAAAGATGGCCACAGCCCACACCCTGCCATCAAAGTAGCAGCTGTGGCAAGCCCCTGCCAGGGACCACAGAGTGGCCTTAGAGGGTTCCCTTACCCACCAGTCCGCCTGTAAATTAGACAGCCATACAGGTTGAGAATCCCAAGGGTTACAGGGCCTTGCATTTGGTAGAATTACTTTCTTTGCAGTAACTAGGATGGGAGCCAGTCCCAGCCTGGGGGAGCTGAAAAATCTGCCCCTTGATGTCCACTTTGCCTTCTGCCCCACCTCACTCTCCTGGCCAGTGAACTCTGTGTCCCTGAATAAAGGCAGCATAGCCCACTGGGGAAGGACAGCACTGGGACATGGAGTGGGTAGCAAGGAAAGTGGAGAAGAGACCTGGGCCAGAGGTAGCTAGGTGGGGCTAGGTTAGGAGGAAAGCAGACAGAGACACTGTGAGTGGTTATGGGATAGGGTACATTGCCCTAGGGGGAACTAGGTAGGGAGGCAGAAGATGACCATGATCCCCTTTAGGAGGAAGGCCTAAAGCTGCGGGTAGAGAATCTCAGTTCCAGGACACAATCTTGCCTAGTTTACCCACTCCTACCACGTCTGCAGAGGGCTTTTAAAACTGCCCTGATGAGAAGACTTTGTATAAATCCACACACATGTCTTTAAAATCCCCATACCTGGCTCTTCCTCAGTGTGGTCCAAGGCAGCTGATCCCTCAGGCTCACTGCAGTAAATGACTCACCCAAATGAGTAGTCTTTTACATGTGATCTGCTACTTTCTAAGTAACTAGGATCTGACCTGGAAGATGGTAATAACAGTAATGCCAGTCTTTCTCATTTGCACTGAATTTTACAGTTTACACAGTGCTTTTGGTATCCATTATCCCATCTAATGCCCACACTACTGCAGTGGACTGGGGAGATAAAGGGATAAATAGAAGAGACCTTTGATCTCCTTTTCAGAGGGGGTGATTTGGTCTGTTCAGGGTTCCCTGGCATGGCCTGGACCCCAGTCCTGTGGCCCATGGCTTCTTCTGCAACATACTGTAGATGCCTGTGGCAAGGAAGGGGATGATACTGAGAGCAGTGGGCTGGCCTCTACCTCAATGAAGCACAGGAGTAAGGACAACAGAAAGCCCAAAGGGACTTACCCTTAGCCCTAAACCCAGCAGGACAATGCATCCTTTGGTTCATGAGGATGTCTAGACCCATACAATTTTTCACTCGGCCCTTGGTCTTCCATGATGCCAATCCACACTTTGTAGTCTCACCCATTCCTTCCCCTAAATCATTGCCATGTCTACTCACTTCTGTCTGACAAGACTCATATTGAATGCCTCCTCCTCAAGGTAGCTTTTTGGAGCCCACAGGTTATCTTTCTATCTTTCAGATTTATCCTGGGATATGATAACAAGGTATGAAGAATGTTTACCCTCCACCCAACTTAAGCAATAATGGGGGCTCTTTTTGAAGGCCAGCATCATGCTGTGCTTTCAGGTTGTTACATACAGGACTCTTCCTGTTAGCCTAGAAGCTCCCCCAAAACAAGCACTAGGGATTCCCTCTTCATGACCTGCCTTGCAACACTGAGCTCAATGTCTATCACTTACCAAATGTTAGTAGAGATTTGTTTCATGAATTCCACAGAGCAGAATACAGTTTCACAAACAGTACTACTACCACTCCATTTTCCCCATACCCAACACCATAATGACAACACTGTCAGTAATTTTAGGGCTGAGTTTAAAAATATCTGTGCTTTGGAAAGTGGGGGATTCAAATACATGATAGGGCTCCTATTTCCATCAGACCACAGGGCAGAGGACCCTGAGTGGTTGTACAATTGTATATTTATTAGATATTTGTTAGGGGGCGAATGGTACTGTCTGTTATGGGACTATCAGTTTCAGGGCTGAGCTGGAACAATGTCATATGAAAATATATCACATGGGTGGGGGGGAAAACTAACCTGAGCAAAAAATGGCAATATATATCTCTGCAGAGAGGAGATCAGATTAATTTTATTTTCTCTTTTATTCACTGGATAACCAGCCACTATCTTGCCCCAAGTTTGATATTCATTTCTGCAAAATGCTCCTGATGGAAGCCTGGATCACACTGATGATTGAACTATTAAGCCAAGCAAGGCTTAAGGCACAAAATTAATGTTTGCAAGACAAGATCAGGGGCTCTAGGAGGGTTCTTCTAATGAGGTCAGAAGCTAGAGTATAGCTGCCAGTCTCTCTTCAACCCCAGTGCTGGTCTGTAGTCTCCCACTGGAAGTGAATGTGTATCTTATTTCCTTGACAACCAATCACAAGGTGATGTGCTGGCCAGCTGCTCCTGGGACAACAGTGGTGCTTTTGCCTCTCTTTCTGGCTCCCCACAGCTGTTCCCTTACCTATCCTAGCTCCCTGTCTACTGGTGGCTATTCTACAGAGAAGGGACACAGAGGAGAGGGACTTCCCAAGGAGGACTCATTGGGTTTTAGCAGGCTGGTCACTGATCCAGCTGTCGACCAGCTGTAGTTACTGGAATGAATACATCAGACCTGGGAGTGGGGACATGTGTTATAGCTAAGGGTGGATAATAGCTAGCCTTTCTTTTTATTCCATCTCTATAGAATTTGAATGTTTGAAGGATTGTGAGCCTAGACTGTAAGGGTGTGCCTTGCACTAGGTTTATTATTTACACGGATGTTGAGAGCCTAACTCCTAGGCCAGGAACATGAATCTTATGGAATTGTGCCTTCAAGGAGTTCCCTTTCTAGATGGAGAGCTAATAGGAGCCAAAATAATTGTGGAGGGGTGGAGTGGATAAGAAACAGTCTGGCTCATGTTTCTAAAGGGGAACTTGGGGTTCCAGTTACTAAGGGCCACATTAAAATCTCTTCCTAGCAGGACAGTCAATAGAGAGTCTGACTTATACTTATCTCTCATATAACCACTATTGGGGAGGTATTGCTAGGCCTCTTGGACTGAGGATAGTGAACCCCAGAGAGTGTCTTGCTCCAAGGCCACCATGCACTCTTAGCAGATCCTGGATAGCAGCTCTGGAATATGGGACTGTGAGGCAGGTCTTCAAACATGGTCTTGCAGGTCATTTAAGGAGCCTGTGGTCAGGAAGCGAAACTTCAGGTCTACTTTTCTTTCTATCCCTAGGAAAAATGTCAGTGAGAGCCCAAGCTAATGTGAAATTGAGGTCTAAATCCCACAGAGCTCAGTGAGGACTCAATGGGCTGTTTTGCCAGATGCTCTTCAAAAATTCAGTCATCAGAGCTGACCTCTGACCTCTGTCCTGCTTTTTCTGCCTCTCCCTATCCTACTCCTTTGACAATCTCTCCTGTAGCCAATAACACCTCTGGGTCTTTCTCATATCTGCAGTTTCCTGTGCTCAGTGCTCCCCTGAGATTAAGGTGGCCTGAAGGGTGTGGACCCAGCATGGAGGTAGAGGTGATGGCTGCCTATTGCTCAGTGTAGGATTTCACTGCCTTGGACCCCAGAGGAGGCTGGCCTAGCAAGCCAAGCATATGGAGTGCATTATGGTTTTCCTTACATTTTCTCTTTCACTCTGGTTCCACTCAAGCCTAAAACCGCAGACACCTGTGAAAACAAACCCTGCCTGGATGCTTGCTCACCAGTACTGTCTCTCTGTCTTTATCTCTCTCATGTTTTCCAGACCCAATAATGATGCTTCCTGACTGATGATGTTATAACAGTACCTGGAAGCCAGAAGGCTGCATTTTCGGCTGAACATAACTGAGTTGTCCCCATCGCCATGGAGACCCGAAAGGATGAAGTTGCTCAGGCTAAGGGATATGCAGCCTCTGTGGACACCCAGGACCAAGGGACAGAGAAAGGAGCCAAGAACAAAGAAGCTGAGACAATGGAAGGGCCAGAATTAGAGCCACCCTCATCTGGCCCAAGTAGGCTGAAGAAAACTGCGATGAAATTATTTGGTGGCAAGAAAGGCATCTGTACTCTGCCCAGTTTCTTTGGAGGGGGACGGAGTAAAGGTTCTGGGAAAGGCAGCTCCAAGAAGGGCCTTAGCAAGAGCAAGACCCATGATGGCCTGAGTGAAGCAGCCCATAGCCATGAAGACATTGTCAGTGAAGGACCTAGCTTCTCTCTACCTTTGCCTGAGTCACCCTGCCAACTGCCCAATTCCCAGAGTGCCCACGGGGCTTTGGAGACAGGCTTCAGTAGCAAGGCGTCTGTGGCTATAGCCACAGAGAAAGCTGGGACTGAGAAGGCACTTTCTGTGCCCAAGCCAAAAAAAGGCCTGAAGGGTTTTTTCAGCAGTATCCGCCGTTACCGAAAGGTTAAAATCTCTGGGGCTGAACAAAGTAAGCCAGGGGCCAAGGGGCCCAAAGGGGCGAGAGCCAGGCCTCACGAGCATGCAAACTCAGCCCTTCTGTCCCATGCTGAGGAAACCCTCCAAGCCCCAAGAAAAGAAAAGGCCAAGGCCCAAGATGCCTCTAGACCTAAAGTTTCTTCAGCACCACAGTCTTCTCCAGCCGCCACAAAGAAGACAGCCTATAAAGATCCAGAAAAACCCATGGAGGTCTGTGCCTCAGCACTCCTGCAACTCAAGCCTGTCCCTGAAGCCAGTGGCCTAGAGGAGCCCCACAGCCCAGAAACAGGAGAGAAGGTGGTGGTAGGAGAGGTAAATCCACCCAATGGCCCCGTGGTAGACCAGCTGAGCCTCCTGTTTGGGGACGTAACATCTCTGAAAAGTTTTGACTCACTGACAGGTTGTGGTGACATCATAGCAGAGCAAGATATGGACAGTATGACAGACAGCATGGCCTCCGGAGGCCAGAGGGCCAATCGAGATGGGACCAAGCGAAGTTCCTGCCTGGTGACCTATCAAGGAGGTGGGGAGGAGATGGCCTTGCCAGATGATGATGATGAGGAAGAAGAGGAAGAAGAGGAGGTAGAACTAGAGGAGGAAGGAGAAGAAGTCAAGGCAGAAGAAGATGATGACTTAGAATATCTATGGGCAAGTGCTCAGATGTACCCAAGACCCAATCTGAATCTGGGCTACCATACCACCACATCCCCAGGCCACCACAGCTACATGCTTTTTGACCCAGTTCAGTCTTATCCTGGCCTAGCTCCTGGGGACCTTTTGACTCCTCAGAGTGACCAGCAAGAGTCTGCCCCTAATAGTGATGAGGGTTATTATGACTCTACTACACCTGGATTTGAGGATGATTCAGGTGAGGCCTTGGGGCTTATCCACAGGGATTGTCTGCCCCGAGACAGCTATAGTGGAGATGCCCTTTATGAATTCTATGAGCCAGATGACAGTCTTGAGAACTCCCCACCTGGAGATGACTGCCTTTATGACCTCCATGGTCGCAGCTCTGAGATATTTGACCCCTTCTTGAACTTTGAGCCCTTTTCTTCCTCTCGGCCACCTGGAGCGATGGAGACAGAAGAAGAACGGCTAGTGACCATTCAGAAGCAGTTGTTATATTGGGAGCTTCGGCGAGAGCAGCTTGAGGCCCAAGAGGCCAGGGAGGCACGTGCCCGAGAAACTCACACCCAGGAAGCTCATGTCAGAGAGGCTCGAGCCCAAGAGTCCTGTGTCAGGGAGGGCTGTGCCCAAGAAGCCCGTGCTCGAGAGGCCCAAGTCCGAGAGGTCCAGGGACATCAAGAAAAGCCTATCATGGAGTATCAGATGAGGCCCTTAGGGCCATCAGTAATGGGCCTGGTGGCAGGGGCATCAGGGGCTTCTCAGACTTCCCACCGAGGAACCACCTCAGCTTTCCCTGCCACTTCAAACAGTGAGCCAGACTGGAGGGACTTCCGTCCTCTGGAGAAGCGTTTCGAGGGAACCTGCTCTAAGAAGGATCAAAGTACCTGCCTGATGCAGCTATTCCAGAGTGATGCTATGTTTGAGCCAGACATGCAAGAAGCAAACTTTGGAGGATCTCCCAGGAGGGCCTACCCTACTTATTCACCCCCTGAAGAGCCAGAGGAAGAGGAAGTTGAGAAGGAAGGGAATGTCACCGTGAGTTTCTCGCAAGCCCTCGTTGAGTTCACCAGCAATGGGAACCTCTTCTCCAGTATGTCCTGCAGTACTGACTCTGACTCATCCTTCACTCAAAACCTCCCTGAGCTTCCCCCGATGGTGACCTTTGACATCGCTGATGTGGAACGGGATGGAGAAGGCAAATGTGAAGAGAATCCTGAATTCCACAATGATGAGGACCTTGCAGCCTCCTTGGAAGCTTTTGAGCTGGGCTACTATCAGAAACATGCCTACAACAACTACCGCAGCCGATTCTACCAAGGCCTGCCCTGGGGTGTGAGCAGTCTCCCTCGATACTTAGGACTGCCTGGCATGCACCATCGACCTCCACCTGCTGCCATGGCCCTCAACAGAAGGAGCCGCTCCCTTGACACTGCAGAGACCCTGGAGCTGGAACTCTCTAATTCTCACTTGGCCCAGGGCTACATGGAGTCTGATGAGCTTCAGGTTCGGCAGGAAGATTCAGATGAAGAAGAGGAGGAAGAATGGGGCCGAGATAGTCCCTTGTCCCTCTATACTGAACCTCCGGGGGCCTATGACTGGCCTGCCTGGGCTCCCTGTCCTCTCCCAGTGGGGCCAGGCCCTGCCTGGATAAATACCAGGCAGTTGGATGGTCCTTCAAGCCAGTCTCCATATGGGCAGGCAGCCTGTTGTATAGCTCCTGTGGCTATGTCAGTGTTGCTATCAGTACCAGGGCCAGAGCCAAGGGCACACAGGGAATCTGAGCCTCAACTAGCTCGGCCTTCACACTTACCACTGCCCATGGGCCCTTGTTATAACCTCCAGCCACAGGCCTCCCAGAGTGTGAGGGCCAGGCCTCGAGATATACTGCTGCCTATTGATGAGCCCAGTTGCTCCTCCAGTTCTGGAGGTTTCAGCAACAGTCCTGTGCCCCAGGCCAAGCCTGTTGGCATCACCCATGGCATCCGTCAGCAGCCTAGGGTCCGGCCTGAGTCCCTACAGTCTCAGCACTATGGGACTTCCAGCCTTGACCTATCAAAGGAGAGGGCTGGGCAAGATGCCTCTCTCCCAACCAGCTATTCCTCCACTGCCATGAATGGAAACCTAGCTGAGTAGTCATCTTCAATTCTGGAGTGGGGGCATGGGGCCTAAGCATGTGAATGGGGATCAGGGGTTGGGCAGAAGGGTTGGGGGGTGGGTGCTGCTGTTTAACTTGAAAATCCTTTTGGCCAAGGAAGGCTCCTATGAGTTTTCACCTTTGTTTTCCCACTTTCTTCTTCTGCCATCTGTGGCCACATTCAGCTCAAGTACATCTGCCCTGGGAGGCAGCTGCTGTGTTGCTGCTGCTGCTGCTGCGCTCTGGTTTTTGCTTTTGGGGTTTCTTCTTGTGACCCATGCAGGTTTTGGGATGCTGTAATTTTGTGCCTATTCCAGTTGCAGAGTTAGTGATTACACACACACACACACACACACGCACGCACATATATATCATGCATCCTTGACACAGACTGAACTCTTAGCGCCCCCTGCCACCTTCCCCCCAACCCAGTGAATGATGAACCACTGATAAACAGCCAGGTCTGCACTGCCTCCCATGTGGGGACAGGGGCCTTGTTTGCTGTTAGCAATGTGAAATTATGGTACAGATCCTCCCCACCTCTACTCCCTTTGGTCTTGGCATAGCTGCCATTACATGAAATGACTATAATATATTCATCCTAGCTAGCTGTCCTGAGAGGATTAAGTAGCATATGTCTCACTGCCTATTGCTGTGAACTCTGGCATGATAACCGGATGGGGGCTTTTTAATCTGGCCTGCCATAGCTTCGGTTGAAGACAAAAATGCTAATCCCCTTAATGGAGTGATCAAATTTATCCAACTGCAGACAGTAGACAAAATAGGGTTCTATCACAGACACTGCCATAAGTCTTGAGCTCTGGAATGATAGGATTTTTTCCTTCTTCCTCTTTTAAGCTTGTGACTTCCTGAGTTACAGATACCTTTGAATTTTGATTCTTTTCTCCTCCAAATGAGAATTTCATAATCTCATCGCAAAGAATACATTCTTTTAATTGAGGTACAAGAAGAGAAGTAGCCTAAATTAAGCTTCGCTGTAGGGGTTGGGATTTTTTCAGATTGCATGGAAAGGATAGAAAAAGGTCTATTTGTCCCAGCCAGCAGGACAGAGGATTTCAAACTTTGCAGAGCTTGAGGCAGCCCAGCTTCTTAGAATGGAAAATTGCCTCCCCCCAAAAAATAAAATAAAAAAAAAAATTCCTTATGCCTTTCCCAGTCCTTCATTTGGATGCTGTAAAGAGTAACACTCCTAAGAGACAGAATACCAAAGGCATGTAGGCTGCTGTTTTGGATTCTCTAAAGAGTTTTCCTCCTCCAATTAGATAAGTCTTTAGCATGATCAAAGGACTGGACTTCTTGAGAGGAAAGACTGTGACCTGCCCTCACTCTGCCAAGCTTGAAGACTCTGATTTGTATGACAGTTATGGCCCTTAATGGAATGAATGGCACCCTCCCTTCTCCTGCATCCACACAGCTTTCTTGTTAAACTAGCTTGGAAAAACTGGTGGGGAAAAATTGCTGTCAGGAAAGTATTGCAACAAGCTAATCTTACCAGGCTCAACCTCTCATTAATCACTAATACAAGAGGGTTCCTTTTAAATTTCTTTATTGGAAATAGCATACGGAACATTTTTTACCTGGATGTATTGACCCAAATTATAATCCTTGCCCACCATACCCCTGTTCTTGCCCTCACTCCCACCCATTTCCTTGCTTGTTAAGAGAAGAGGTCAATAGGGCTCTTACGATTCTTGAGATATGATAATTTGGCTTAGGAATAGCTGCTGTTGACCCCCTGAATAACAAAGGTGACTTTGTGGGCAAACTGCCCCTTGGCCAGGAGATACATTTGTGCTGGTCTTTGTCACCATTTATCAGATTGGGGTTGGCCCAGTACTGCTCCCCCCAAAATCAAGCTTTGCTAGTAGAAGCTGCACTACTGGAAGCTCCACGTAAGTTTGCATGGCACCAATGCCACTGCTTAAGGGACCCAGACCAGCTTTCCAGATGATTTTGTCAGCATTGTGAAGAAATGTGTCAGTAATGGAGCTGAAAAATAAAATAGGGTGAAGAAGGCCCTCCTCATTACCAGGAGAGAAGTGGCCAAATTCCAACCTTCGGTCCTCTCATCAAAGCTGTCCCTGGGATGGTGGGGCTAAACGTGGCCTGGCTTTTTGGCAGGAATTAAACACTCACCAAATGCCTTTACAACAGGAGAAAACCCACCACTTGCCTCCTCTGTCTCTGATTGTCCCTTAGGGCAGCTCAAGCTCCTGTCTGGATGTGGACTGTGGCAGCCACAGCAGGTAGTAGAGCCATCACCAGCCTCTAGAGCCCACTGGGCCACTAACCTTTCTGGGAAGAGAAAAAGTAGGTGATCAGCCTTTGGCCGAGGGCTGAGAGCTGCCCTTCGTGACAAGAGGGCAGCAAGAGGTGCTACCTCTGAAGGGAGCAGTCATAGCCCTGACATTATTTGCTGGGCTTTGGAAGGTTGTATGCCACAGGGTAGAGACTAGAACTCAGCAGCAGCTTATAGTTTGGACAACATTACTTACTGCCTGCAAGTCTTTTCACTGTCCTGGCCAGCCCAGGGCAAGATCCTCACCAACAGAAATGGGGCAGTCAGGGTGCGTGGCTGCAAAAGCAGACTCCTCTAGCAGTTCATGGCCAAATTCCAGCTGCAGCCTAGAAGAGGAAGGAAGAGCTGCCTGGGGACATGTGGTGATGGCAGTGCAGGGTGACACTGAGAGAGCCAGCCAAACTCCAGGCTTCTCCCCAGACATAGGCCAGTGCCTGCTTGTCTGGCACCAAATATGCCCCAGACTACTAAAAGTGTTGATGTCAAGTCCACACTTACTAAGCTGTGACCAGTTGAACACCATATCTTGGGATAATGCTTTTAGATGTTACTTCAAGGGAAGATATGACTTGAGAAGAGGTGGCTGCCCTCATCTATCTACCCAGCAGGCTTATCTAGTGCCAGACAGCCCCAATCCTGAGAATTCTCAGATGAGACTGGTCCTTGGGCAATCAGTGACTGTGGATATAAAAGGCTACCTAGGAGGCCTCTCCCAGGGGCACCGGCATCTCAGTGCTTTAGCGCCTTCAAGGAAGCCCTGCCTTAGGGCCTTCCCTGCCCATCTGAACTCAGCTTGGGCATCAGTTCATTAGCCTCCTGGGCCAAAGTCTTTCGTCAACACTAGTCTCCCTCCCTCTTTTGTGCTGTACCAAGGAGGGAAGTAGCTTCCAATACTCAGATGTGTTTCCCTTATCCTGCTGCCAGTGGCTTTCCCACCCATCCCATCCTACCTGCCTTCGGCCCCTGGGGCCCTATTGCTAGAGGGAGGCATGGGGGGTTAGCAGGGAGACTTCAAGTTTACCCATGTATATGTTGCATCCAAGTTG